TCACTGTTGGGTAACTTGTTCTTGGCCTTTTGGACAACTGCCCTCAGCGCTACTGAAAGCCTTTGTGTTTGCTGGATTCTTACAATTTCTCTCTCTGTAGCCAATGAGCTACTCAAACAGACAAGGACAATAAATTCCACATCAGTCTTAACAAACACTGTATGTGTCCATTTAAATAAGGGAGGAAAAGAGATTTCAGCGATGCATTAAGATGATTGGGTTTTTCCATTTCCTTGATTATTATTTCACATCAAATAGACACCTTCCTTTCATTCTGAATGCTGTTGTCAGAGTATCAATAAAGCCCAAGAAAAGAACACATGGGAGCAATTTCTGCCATCGATTCCAGTGTGTCAGAGAACAATTTAAAGTACTGCTATTTGGATATAAAGCTCTCTGTGGCTCTAGACCACAAAAGATCTGACTGAGTAATCTTTATTGTACAAGTACTCTTGAATTCTCAGACCATCTGGCAGAGGGATGCCAACTTTTCCTAGAGAGCAAAATAAATATAGCTTTTAGCTCCTTTCACAGTATCTGCTTTTACATTTTAAACTGATATCTTTCCAACTTTAAGAGAGCTGTGCCCCTCTCTTTCTTACATGGTGTTTAGGTACCTACAAACTGTAAAATAACACAGCCTAAGTTGCAGGACTGTGAAGGTCTTTGACTGTATAAACCACCTTTATAAAGCCATGACCAAAGATTTTGAAAAGAGATTTTCAAATTGCTACATTGGAATGGAAATTGTGTATTTTGTATTTTGTTTGAGTGGTTTTTTTTTTGTTATTTTATTTTTTTTTAATAATTTTTAATATTTACATGTTTACATTTTCAGAATTGTAAAACCTTATTGTGGATGTAAGAGCCAAATTATGTGGACATTTTGCATCCAACTCATTGTGTAACATTTTATTTTGTGGTATTTGATGGTTTGGGCCCCAGGAAGACTAGCAACCACTGTTGTGGAAGCTAATGGGGTTCCTTATAAATAAACAAATAAATAAATAAAATAAACATTTAATTTTTCCACTGTGGAATTGGGGTTGTAAATCTGCCCTGCCTTCCTGCAGCTGTGATACCACAAAGTTTGCTTGGTGATCTCTACCTCTCTAGCAGAGCTAAAAATTCAGACCTGTTAGGACGATGTCTTCAGGTGAAACACTGGCCCCTTTGTCCACACTATCGTTCCGCTGCTGCTGAGCTGCCAGGGCTGTGAGCTGAGCCGACTGCTTGATCAGAGACACCCGGTAGAAATAGTTCCGCCAAAACATCTCCTCCTTCACACTGTCAAACACAAACATGTCACCATTCATTTTTAAATATCAGTTTTAGGTTGACTCTGCTATAAATGGAGGCAAAAACAGGTACATTTGCATGCACACACACACACACACACACACACACATAAATGTTTGAAGAGCACTGACTGTTTAGGAACCAGGTCAAAGCGCATGCGATTGAGGAGCTCATCTTCTTCCAGCATGACTGCAGCTAAAGGATACATCTGCTCCATGTCAAAGTGGAACTGAACACCAGCGGGAGGGTCGCGGAGGAAGTTCCTCTTGTCCTAGAATCAGCAACCAAACAGCTCAGTTTCTACTCAAAGCATAATTTATAAATTTAAATAAGTAAAACAGTAGCCACAAAAATAGCTACCCATTCATACAGTCGTACTATATATTGTGCATGATGCCTTTGCTTACAGCGGACAGAGCGAGAATCTGTTGCTGGATTGTCTCCTCTTCATTGTAGCCGACCCAGGGTGGCACTGCTGCTTCTACACAAACATCAGAGCATGTGCGCACACACATTCAGTCATCAGTTCCAATCCTTATCACTGAGATGCACACATGCACACACCTGGCTCTCTGTAAATAGAAGCTGCTTGGCCAGTAAGTGACATATGCTGATAAAATCGTGATAACATCATTTCTGCTGCCCCTCACAGGCACAATGTAAAAATGAAGATTACACAGTTGATCCCAGTCAGGCCTCACAAGACTCCAATTTTAAACGAAGTGTGTCAATTTCAAAGTGTAAGTCTTGCTTTCAGAAATTAATATTTGAACTTTTGATTGATATATTTATTTTCATAGTGGTTCAATAATTGACTTTGGAAAACATTATGACTACACTTCATTCACCTTGTAGCACCAGTTTAATTCTTCATTGCTCAGATTCAATAAAATTCTGGAAATATCACGCAGCCATTTTGATCCATATTGACATGATAGCACCACACAGCGGCTGCAGATTTGTCACTTAATCCCAAAGGTGTGTAATCAGATTATGTGGTGACTGTGCGGATCATTTAAAGTCATCAGTAAATAACATTCATGCTTTAAAGTCTGGTTTACCTGATTTCTTGGCCTTCTTCTCCTGGACAAATTTCTCTTGCTCTTTTTGGAAGTCCCCTAAAAATGTCTACTCACACACACACACACACACACACACACACACACACACACACACACAAATAAATAGATAGATAGATAGATAGATTGGAAAAGCTGATGCATAAATGGAAAGTGTTAACAAAGCAAGAAGCCCTGAAAAAGTTATGATAAAATCCAGGATTTTACTTGCATATAAAAAAATCTGGAAACTTTGATACAAATTTTAAACTTTAACACTTTTAGACTTAAAAATACTTTGAAAACTTTTGTAAGTCATGTTTAATCTATGGAAGCTTTATTTGCCCCAGATATTTTTATTGATCAAACTGCCAAAAATAAGAAGAGGGTGTGTAGACTATATACAGCACAGTGTGCTTGTGTGTATAATCAAACCTTTAAGTCCAGAGGCCAATGCTACTTAATAATAATACAATACTGCTTATCCAGGTAAGCTCAGGTTTAACCCCTGGGTTTTCTGTACTTTGAAGGTGGTTCACTTCTTACTCGGGGTAAATCGCCATCTGGAGCAAGTTAAGATCCAGAATAGAGATCAGCAGATATGAACTCACTGCCTACTGATTAATCAATTCTCCAGAAAAAAAGCATCACTATTCCTGGAAGATCCCTCAAACTTCTGTGCATAAAAAGGAGTCTAAAGTTTTCTTCTATAGCGTCTACTGTCTTTGTTTTCCTAATAAGAATCAGTAATAAATACTATAGATTTCTAGATACAACTTTATTCTTTTGGTTTTAATAAACAAACTATAAGTATTAAAATCTGATTCTAAAATAGGACACCGACAGTGTACTTGCTGAACTCATGTGAAACTTATGTAGACGAAGCCAATATTTGAATTAAAAAAAACAACAAAAAACTTTACTCTCAAACCTTTAAACTGAGTTTAAGCTGAGAATATCAAAAATAAAACTGTTGGGAGAAGGTTATGCTCATCTTCTTATTAGACTGTCAGACAGTAATCTTAGGTTTCAGAGTTCTAGGAGAAACCCTGGGTTAAATTAGCGAACTGATAACCAGCTTTGTGTGCCAGTTCGGGGAAAGCAAATACAGAAAACTGACCTACAAACCCACAAATGCACAGATGAACCCCACGCCGTTTTTAAAATCTGAAAAACCAGTCAAAAAGAACCTGAGAGCAACGTGCCTTGTCTATGATGCCATCAATTTTTCCTTCTTCCACTGTCTTCTTGATGGTCTGGGCAGTCTCCACCATTGAATCAGAGATTTTCTTGGTGGCACTGGAAGCAAAACTGAAGATGTAACCTTCAAATGGACAAAGAGTCTGTTAATAAAACCATTGCCACTGCAATAAAAGATACATATATGA